TAAAAGAATAAGACTAAATATAAGTAATAATATAAATTAAAAATAGAATTAATTATAAATAAGATTAATTAATATAATTTTCTTATTTACCTAATTTAATAATGATTAATAATTACTATATCACATCTAAAGATAACTTCTTAACTGTTGTAATATAATGACAAATAAAGTATTATCTAGTTGTAACTAGTTGTGACTTATAAAATTTTGGAGTTACAACATGTTATAACAGGTGATAAATAAGTATCACATACTTACTGTACTATCTTTAATTACATCTACTATATTATATAAATAGATAATTGATTATAATATATAAAGATGATCACTATTTAATTTGTAATAATATATAAGAAGATCAAAGATATCTTTAGTTCTGTTCATCAAATAAATATACTAAAGATAATATCAAATAATAACTACTAATAATTCTTGAAAAAATAGTTACATTATTATTAAAAAATTCTAATAATAGAATTTCATAATACATAATCAAATTATACTTTCAAAAATTAATAATCTTTAAAGAGCTTTTTAATATTATTAATTAAAATATACTTAATTAAATACTACTATATGAACTTATATCTAAAGAACTGATTTAGTTTCTTTATAATTAACAAATTCCAATATTAATAGTCAGAATAATATCAACAAAATTTATAAAATAGATTTCTAATAACTTCTATATTAATATTTATATCTATAAGATTTATTCCTTTAATTAAAGTAAGTTATAAAAAGACTACTTGAATAATTCTTTTATTAAATTAAATTTTATAAGATTAATTTGAATTATTATACAAAAGAACTTTAATATTTCTAGTATATTTAGTATTAATAGTTTCTTCTTTAACTTCAATATTTTTCTTAGCCAGTAATAATTGAGATATTAATTAATAAACAGCTCCTATAAAAACTTTAATTAATAAACAGCTCCTATAAAAACTTTAATTATTAAATAAAGATCAATTATAATAATTTGATGAGATTGAATAAAAATAATTTCTTCTTTAAAATATTTAAAATCAAAATCTGTATCATATTTATGAACTTATTTAGATATTTTTTCTTTATTTTTATTATTATAAATCTTAATTATTAAATTTGCTAACTATTCTTTAAATTTTTCTTCTTCTTCTACTTTATTTTTATTTTCTTCAGATATTAAAGAAATTTATATTATTATTATAATATTATACTATATAATATATAAAATATATATTTTGTAATACTATTAATATGATTTTATTAATTTAGTAGTTATTTGTTATTAATCAATTATTGTAGAATGTAAAATAATTTGAAAAAGAAATCTAAAATAAATTAATAAATAATTATTATTAAATAAGATATAATTTATAATAATTAAATATAATATATTTTCTAATTAAAATATATATAATTAAGAAAGATATATAAAATTATTTTTAAAATTTACTATAATTATTATAAGTTTTTAATCTTATTTTTTAATCTTATTAATATATTTATTATTTTTATAATCTTAATAAATAATATATTTAATAATTATTTAAATAAATTTATAAATATATATCTAGATATTATTTTAATATATAATAAAATAAAGAAAAATATATTTAATATCTTCAGATATTTTACAATAAATATAAGTAATATATTAAGTAAAAGTAATATAATTTAGTTTAATTATATATAAAATATCTTAAATATTTCATATTAGCAAATAATATTTTAATAAATTTAAGAAAAATAATTATTATTAAAGATTAATCAGTATTAATAAATATATTTAAATTTTATTTATTTTTAAAATTAATAAGTTATTATAAAAAATTTATTAAAGAATTTTTAATTATAATCTTATCTTTTATAATATTTATATAAAATAAAAAATATAAATAATCTATTTAAGTATAATAAATATTTAAAAATTTTAAGTAATATTTTATTTTAATATTAGTCTTATTATTATTTAATTCAAAATTATTATTTATAATTACTATTAATATATTTAATTTTATTATTAAAATTATATTAAGTCAAATTAAAATAAAAATAATTAATTTATAATATTTAAATTATTATTAGCTAAATAAAATTATTTAATATATAAGAAAAAGTTATTAATAATTATATATTATTAAATTTTAAAAGTTATATCTAGTATAATAATTTTAATTAATTATATTTTTTTAGCTTAAATTTTTATTTTATACTTTTTATATTATATTTTATCTTTTATATTACTTATTTTAAAAATTAATTTTATTTTAAATATATAAATAATTATTATATAATTAATTAATTTAGATTTATTTATATTATTATATAAATAATTATTATATATTTTCTAATTATTATTTTAGCTAATTAATATTTTTAATTAGATTTCTTTTAATTATTTTTTTATTTATTTTTATTTATTATTATTTATATTATTTATAATTATTATTAATTTCTAAATTATAATTTATTACTCTTTAAAAATGCAAATTAAATTAATTAATTATATTTAATTTATATATATTTTAAATTAATAATTTATTTATATTTTATATTTATTTTATTTTATATAAATAAAGTTATTTTTATTTTATATTTTATCTTTAGATCTAAATATTATTTAAATAATAAAATTATAAGTATTTATAAATTAAAACTATTTACTTTATATTTTATCTTATTTATAATTATAAATAAATGATTTTATATTTAAAAGATTAAAACTTACTATAATTACTAATTATATTATTAGAATATATTAAAATATAATATAATCTTTCAAAAAAATAATTAAAAATATTATAAGTCAACAACTTTAATATAAAATGCAAGTTAAAAAAAGATAATATTATTATTAATACACTCTTTTACTAATTATATCTAGTAAATATTATTATTATTATTATTAATCTTATTGATAAAAAAGAGTTAATATAAAAATATAAAGAAGATAAATATTTTGCAGATATTTTAGAGACCTTGCAGAATTTTAATAACATAATATCAAAGTAATAAGCAAAAATCTATCACTTTGAATTGAAAGAAGATTTATTATATCTGAAGAATACTAATTATATAATTAGATATATACTTGAGAATTAACTAAATATAGCAAAATAATTATCATTTATTTTAACACATTCAATTCTAATATATTTTTTCAGATTATAGATGCATACTTAAGAGTTACAGAAATTCAAAGCTGATATTTCTCATTTTACAATAATAGTCATTCATCATTATGAATTGTGAATGAAAAATATTATTAGTTGGATCAAACATGCAAGAAATATTGCAAAAAGATCAGAGCTGTAAACATTATTAGAAAATATGTTTATAGATTAAATAATATTTAGTAAGAAAAATTAGCAATGAGATATAATGAATAAGCAAAAGTTGATTGATCGATAATATTTTTTATTTTAAACATAATAATTCAATAAATCACTCGATTTAGTTAACGATCATTTGTTATAACTTTATTTCTTTCTGAATTATGCATATTTTTCATTAGCAAGTTAAAGATAGATTACTTCTGGTAAGTCACAATATCTGACACCGTATGGCAGAGCTAAATTGCAGTTAATTCCTGCGGCTGTTATTTAAAGCAAGTAGGCTCTCTCACCCCTTAAAAATCACATGATCTGCTTTTTTTCCAGAATATATACGCATCACGATAATCTTAAATCTCAATTCAACTTCTGAAAGAAAAACATTAATAAATGAATAACTCTTGTGCTTCAGTATTAAACGTAGCAGCGTTACAACTCTTGGGTATTGACATGAAAAAGTTGGAGGAATGGGTTGTGAACGAAGAGAGTGGTAAAAATCGTGGTCGGTGTGGAGCTGATCCTTCACCTCTTCTTAAAGGTACGATTTTGAATTTTTGAAATACTTGTTAATTTTATTTATTTGATTATTTATTTATTAGACTTAGTTGCAACTGGCATTTCAGTTGATTCGACAGATAAACAAGTCTCGGAATTCAAAACGATGAATACAAGCGAGAAAAATGAAATTCATGAATACAAGGTTGAGGAAGAATCAAGTAAAGATATGAAGACTATAGCTGGTTCTTCGGGCATAAAAGAAAATCCTCAACCATCGTACATACCCAACTTCTTGCCATCATTACCTGATGGTTGCCCACCAAAAGGATCAGAATTCGAATCGGATATTAAAAATAACGCAAAAAAGGAAAAATATTTAACACAAAAAAAAGAGAAATGCACATATAATGCCCCGGCTAACGTCTCTAATAATAATAACTCATTAAAACTAAGTTTCAATAATTTATCACTATCACAAGTCCATGAGAAATTTGAAGAAGCATTCAACTCGTTTGAACAAGAGAAATCACCATCGGTTGGATCACAATCATCAAATAAGAAACGTAATATTAAAAGAGAACTTTCTTATTGTCCCGTGAATCCAGAAGAAACGATCTGTGCTTTTTCGAGTTATGGACTATTTGGCGATGATACCGAGACTTATATGCCTGAATTAAGTGATTCTGAACTTTTTGTTCTCAAACCGATAACTAGTGAATTTGAAGTTGCTGCTGCTCCCGATGAAACATCACGACGAATATTAAGAGACGATAGAAAAATAAGAATTTCATATTCTAATAATACTTTATCAAGGCAAAACCCTTCAAGAATTTCAAGACGTGCTCTTCCCACCTTATCGGATAAATTACCTCCGAATCTGTTATCGCGAATAAGAAAACGATCTAGAAAGAACCTCGATGAAACTGAAGAATCTACTGTTCCAAATATCGAAAAAGCAAAACCGAAAAAGCGGAAAATATCATGCTGACTCCCAAAAAGAAAGCACCCACCATTAAAACTGTGAAACCGAAACCTACCAAAAACACGTCCACATCATCGACCAAAACAGCTAATGAAATAGCGAAACAACAATTGCCGCCACCTCTTCAAGACCATAACACAGAATCGTTGAATTCAGAAATAATTAATTGTATATGCGAATTTCCGGATAAAGATAATGGAAAACTCATGATATCGTGCGACAACTGCAATGTATGGTTTCACGGAGAATCGGAAATAAATTGATGGCGGTGGACAATTGGACTTGTCAGCGATGTGTTCCAGAAATAGCTAAAAAATTTTAAAGTTTACGTGATTTATTTGTTTAATGCTTTATTCGCTATTAATATCAATATGTTAATATTCTAAAGATGAATTATTAGTTTCATCCAAAATTGATTTCAAAAATGCACTATATTTAAGAATTCGTGAGCATAAAGCATAATATATAATATAATTGTTAAAACATTGATAGCATTACTTTTTTGAGTCCTAAATACATGTATAAATGATGCATACTCTGGATAGAGGAGCCCTTGGCTATACATTGCGCTATATCTCCGGCTAAAAAAATAATGTCAATACGATCAAAAATCTTAAAGACCAAAATCCGGTTGTCTTGGCATTCATTTTTTGTTGTTATGTCTTTGTGTGGCTGAATATATTTATTCGAAATCACTACTCTAATCGATATGTGCTTATATATTGCTTAGTCATATGATTATATGATTGAACGAAATTCGTAAATTGATTTTATAAAAAGTACATCAAATTAAAGAAAACTGCATCCTTCCAATGCTTTGGACCAAGTGACATAGGCGGTCTCCAGGATTTGCACGTATGGATGAAGTTCTTTTTGACGATGATTGGATGGAAATATTTTAGTCCACAATCGAATTGGTGCGAACGCCAAGTCCATTAAAAGTTGTGATGGTGGGCAGTCGTCATAGCACGAGCATAATATATTATTTGCGATCACAGTACCGGCACGTGTATAAAAACTGATGTAGCCAGTGTCCTTTTCCTAATTTTGAAAGATGATTTAAAAATGAGAACACGAAAGGCGTGTTTAGATAATGGAAAGAATAATCTTACAATGACAAGACTATCAACAATGACAGGAATAAGTTCATTCGTTTTATCTAAAACTAGGATTTCCGTCTTGCCAGGCACCACATCTTTAGCATATAAGAGCAATAAATCGCTACCGAAGATGCAATGCATAGGTGTCATGAGGATTTGACCTGTTAAAAAGTATATTTGAATTATGAAGATCCTAAGGCCTGCGAACGAGAAGGTAAATTACCTTTACTTCCATCGGGACTTATGAATTCAATTTTTACCATATTTACGGGATAATCGTGATGTCCCAGATGAGATATCAAGTAAACTTCAGAGAACTCAAGTCTGTTATTACTGACGTTGCTTAAAACAAGATCACCAACTTGAAGTTCTGACATCTCTACCGATTTGCCGCTGGCGAGTCGCACTTTTGTATCAAGAGCAAAACAGCTAGGCTATAAAATTTAAACAGCAAAAAAGACAGGTAAGCATCATGATCGTTGAAATACATGTATCATTATCCATGAAATGTGATAATTTATATCTTGTATTATGTGGATAATGTAACATATAAAATATCACATTTAAGAGATGTTTATCTGCTTTTTTATTATTGCCATGAATTTGTACCGATTTAGCTGACTTCAGTGTATCGAATTCCGACTTTAATGATTTGTGTGCGTGTTTTTCCGAGTCGACATCCGACTTTAATAAGTCGTTTCTGCGTTTTTCCACCTCCATTTCCGACTTTAATAAGTCGTTTCTGCGTTTTTCCACCTCCATTTCCGACTTTAATAAGTTATACATTTCTTTTATTGAATTCAAGTTGTCACCAAGGATTCGCTCTCTTTTGCTTTAAATTTTTCTTCAGCTTGCTTCTTCCCTTCCTTTCTCAAATTTTCTTCGTATTGCGCATTTGCTCGTTTTTCTTCCTCTTCCCTTTCACGCCGATTTTTCTCTTGCTCTTGCCGAGCGAATTCAAATGCTTCTGTAGTATAGACACCTCGTGTACTGGCGATGAAGTCTTGAATCTCTGTCAACCGGGCTTTGTGTACGGAACTTTCTGGAGGAAAGTAGTCAGAATTTGGGGATATTCCCCAGCGGCCACCTAGAATCCTAATAAAGGAAGAAACAGTCTGATTCCAAGTCTTTCGCATTTCATCCCTGTTTTCATTCTGCTTTTTTGTTGCATGGGAAAAAATAGGAATTATATAGTCCATTGCGCTTTCTCCAAGAAAACATCTTATACCTTCCAAGACATTCTTTTGTTCTTCAGTAAACCGCTTTGCTTCTGTAGAGGAGATATGGTTATTACTTGCTCATAACTCTTTATTCGTAGGATTATAGTTTATTAAGTCATTACATACCAAAAACAAAAAGGATAGCTTTGACACCATAAGCACATATATGAACTGTTCGTGCAATTTCGTTAAAGACTTCTTCATTAGGCTTTTGTGTATCAAAGATTCCGGGAGTGTCGACAAGTTTATACTTCTCGCCAACGATTGTCACTTCTGCCTCGCCACATACTTGCGTGCAGGATTCCTATATTATTTTTATCATTAGGATCGGAATGAAAATGAATTTCACGCAAATATGAAATATGGTCACTCACCATACCCGCCGAGACTTTAAAGGGACCTTCGTCATGTGGTTTTCCGAGAAGCAAATTTCCGAGTGTACTTTTTCCAGCACCTTGATACGAATTATCCCTTTTAATTAACAGAAGAAATGAGAGGAAAAAATTTATTGGGATGCTTGCCTGTTTTTCCCATTAATAGAATAACAGGATAGGTAAGCGAAGGGTTTGGGCTCGGAATTTGCTCGTCTCTGGTGTTGTGAGTATTTAGGAAATTGAAGGAAAGGTATGGTGAGTATCGTTAAATAACTTTTGTTCATTTTTTAACATTACTCAACTGGCTCATTTCGCTTAATTCAAGTGTATAGAAAAGAAATGTTCTTCTATTTATATCTAGAATGAATGAGCTTACCAATTTTGGAATGAATGGGCTTTCCAGTGAGGAAGATTCTTTCCATTCACATCCTCTACCCATACGCAAATAAAATATAGAGAGCACCCATTCCAGACCAACTGGGTTGGTCTGCTCAATTCAATCAAAGCTAATTTATAATTTTTTATCATGTAGTCTTTGTCGTGTCTTGCACTTTCTTACATTGCAAAGATGTATAGCATGTATACTTATGGTGGTGCCGTAAACGTTATTTTACGTCCTCTATGACGTAACTCGAGACATGACGACACGTCAAAAAGCCAACTGAAGTTTGTCATAATATTAGACGTATGTCGTAACATTTGGTGTATGTCGTAACATTTAACATATGTCGTAACGTTTGACGTGTGTCGTAATATTGATATATAACAGATAAATTTATTTCATTGTTACGCCTATTCTTTCTATTGGGTTTAATGATGACTAGTGTTAACAACTGAAAGAGATTAGACTGAAGTTCCTTCGATGGAAGAGTCTCTCTAATTGGATTTCCGATGGAATTCTGTTAGTAACTACGGTTATTGTTGACGTTAAAGGTGAGTGTCTAATATATGGGAGGAATGATTTGAAAGGGCAAAGAAGATTATGCTGCAAATTAAGGAGATTATATGTAATTTTTAACAATAGAGTTCTCGAGTAAGTTCCCAACGTCACGAGACGGAATTTCGTTCGAACATGGTTAGCCTATTCTACAAGAAAATAACGAAACATTGACTTTTTCTGAAGAACGACAAAACCCAAAGTCGATATTACAAGCAAGAGTTAATGTCATTTCAATTACTGTGGACTTTATTATAAAATTGACTTGTCTTTATTTAATGCTCAAGAACACGCCTATATATAAATTGATTTTTGGGTACACGTTTCGGTATATGTTATCGAAAACCTGTTCTTACCAATAATTATTAAGTGTGCGGTTGATCGGATGAACCGCTTAAAAAAAAAGTTGTCAAATAAAGTTCGACTTGTCATTATAATATAAAAAATAATATTGTTGGGTGAAATTCAGATGTGCTAAAATGTCCTAATTTGGACGTTGATTGTTTTGGTATATTTTTATTATTTTGTTGGTTCTTATATATATTTTTATTTTCTTATTTTCCGTTAAATCAAGATGTATCACACATACAGGTCAATTCGGAAAGAGTATGGTTTTTGGACGTAATTAGAGAAAACTTTAATGTTAACGGTAACAACATAATGTATATAAATTCTCAAAAAAAAAAAATAGAGAAACCATCAGCAAAAAAATAATAGTCTACTTCATTTAAAAGAAAATATTCTTTTCACTCCATAATCGTTACTGCTGAATTTTAAGAATTTTTATAAAAATTAATAATGTAATTTTGCATGTTGAAATTTAGCCAATCAAAAATAACACACGTGATATATCAGGCGCTGAAAAATTACTATTAAAATTGGTAGTAATACCAGTCAGTGCCCTAACTACAAATAACGTATTTGTTTTAATAGTTTAGATATTTAGAATAAAATTTCTTTACATTTTAAAATACTAATTAAATATTGGATGTCTTTAGACTGTTTGCACCATAGACTCTCCATATTTCAAAATCCATCATCGAGAGATATATCGATTTTAAAAAATAAAATAATGTTAAATATATGTATAAAACACTAATATATGAAAAAAAAGTTAATATAAAAATGGTACGTACAGTATGTACAGTACGTGCATATAATTTTTTAAAGATAACCAGTCGTGTGTACATACATAAAATGGATATTTACTTATAGATGCGCCGCATTTTCTAGCTCATTATTAATAGTATTCTGCATACGTGATGGCAACCCATAAGCGCGAAATTGAGATTTTTTAAATAGATCCTTAATGAATTTTTAACTAACTTCGAGTGGCATATTGGCTATTGTCCAGGTCTTTAGAAGAAGTTTATTGTAATGATTATTAACTTGCGTAAGTAAAATTAATTGTAATTGAGATTTCTCGTATTATTATTTTCTACAAGTTTGTTATATCGATATTTACGGATGTCTTCGGGCATATCTGGGCAACGAATTCCAAGATGGGCTCTCATAATTCATGATTTGACTCTCGGCCAGAATTTCGTACAATGAAAGCACTTGATCTCGTAGTGCCCTGGATTTACTTTTTTTTAATAACATCTCAAAATTGGTCTCCTTTTCTTTTTTCTGTGGCCAATCACAGCTATGAATTAATAAATTTCGTCAGTCAAAGACATCTTCCGCAACTTTTTCTCAATAAAACATATTAACTAAAGAATAATTAAGCATATTGAAAAATTGAATTTATCGTTAAATACATACGAGAAAATAACAACAGAAGAAATAATCAACAAGTTTATAAATCAAGTTCTTGAATCCTGGATTTCGATTAGAGTATTTATCTACGCCTACGTGGGGTCGTATTGGCGGATTTGAATTGTTGCAAAATTTAGTGGTTATCTTTATCATCGTTATCTGAAGATTGTTCTCGTTTCTTTGCCTTTCTTTTTAATGCCCTTATCTCTTTAAATATATTTTTATCTTCATCCTTCTGGGAATTTTTCTTCCTTTACTTGACTACACCATTATAATCATCGTCTTCTTCACTATCAGTTTCATTATCAGTATCAGAGAAGGATCTTTGTTTACCGTTTATATTTTACCCGAAGATTTGATTTCAATAATGGAGTTTCCAATTCTAAACAAGGTAAAAAAGATACACGTGTTTATTGTCCAACTAGTTATGAAAGATAAAACATGCTATTAATTTTTGCATGTGTCTCTTGAATCATATTTTGACAATCTGGCACGAGGAAAATTAGGTAAACATTCATACAATTACTTTCAATTTTATTATTCAAGATTTTATTGTGAACTCAAATATGTATTACCATGGATATAAAACAATAAATCAACCACCCGAAAAAATATTTTCAATCCCTTCCAATGCAGCAAAAATATTTCCATTCCTTAAAGCACGTAAATAACCACGAATAGATACGTGTAAATCACGTTCTAGGCCAATGCCAAGCTTTCTAGCCTTGGCAATCTCAATTTCTATTTCAGTATTATTATGGTTTTGTATAATTTCACGAAAACAAACTATCATTTTACGTAAATTGCGTTTTGTTCCAATCCCTTGGCGATAACATAGCGCGAGACGTTTTTTTGCGGCGATGTTGCAATTTTTGGTATCGGAAGAAAATGACGATGATAATTTGTACCATGTGAACGCGCGTTGTGGGTTTTGATATTGGTCGAGTTGATTTATTACGTTGTCGTCATTATTACCAGAAAATGGCACACATGTACGAAAAAGGTCACCTAAAATTCGTTGTGCTTTTGAATCTCCAATTTTCGCTCGTCTGATAAACCAAGTCAAATTCTCGTATCCTTTTTCAAACAGTCTATTCTGAAATCTTTCATCCACTTCATTCCCTGCATCCGAGGCGCGATACCATAGAATGGCATTTCCATAATCTCTTTGTGTGCCAATTCCATATTCATAGCATTCCCCTAAACGTTTCATGGCATCCCGATTTCCTCCACATGCTGCTCGCTGATACCATAAAAAAGCTCTTTTCAAATTAAGTTCAGTTCCAATTCCGAAATGCCAACATTCTCCCAACGAGTTTTGAGAAGGCGTGTATCCAAGTTGGGCTGATTTCTGATACCAATAAAACGCGCGTTCTGGATCACGATTACAACCTGCGTATCCACCGAATTCATAAAACCAACCCAATTCGTGTTGAGATGCTGGATCATTATCATTCGCAGCTAGGGAGTAATAGAAAAACGCATTTTCTTGTAAAATATTTGTGCCATAGCCCCACGAATAACAGAATCCCAAAAGTGGGTAAAAACGAGAACAATTTGTGTTTTTCAGAAGAAGCGAAAAGAAGTTTCGTTGTGACAATTGATGTTGTGAGAGAAGTGAATCCAACGTATAAAGTAGTGTAATTGAAGAGTGTGAGTATTTATGGGATGCCCAATTAAATTGTTTGACTATTTGTGTCAATGTGTTTGACGTTTTGGGGTAGGAATTGGATGGAAAAGTAAAAAGGAATGAATGCAAGAAAAGTGGAGATAAAATATCAAGCAGTTTTCTTTGTTGCCGATATTTAGATGTTGATGTTGATTTGAATATCGAAAGACGTTCTCTATTTGAGAGTGTTGTTGATAAATTTGCCATTTTGACTTTGAATTTCAATAGTAAAGATTTATCCGATTAGAAATTTTCACTTGACGCGTCTCAATTATTTTTGCTTCTACCTTGGAATTTTTCACGATAATTTTTTAAGTATAAATTGCTAGTTTTATATCAACGAAAACATTTTGATTTTCTAACAAACGAAACAAGAACTTTTAATATAAACGGGAAAATGTGAAGCAATGGGTAGACTAATGAAATCAAAACCTATATATAGTTCAGCCAATCAAGCAAAAATTGTAATTACATGGATTTTCATATCCAAAAATGACTGGATAACGTTTTACGTTTTAATTTGCAAATTGGTTTGGCATTTATTTATTTGATATATCTAAAGTTTAAAAACCCTGTAGTTTGCGTATAACAGTAATGAAGCAAATAACGATAACGATAAGGTTTTAAAGTACCACAAAAAAATCTCGATAAGAATACTTGTTCGCACGTGGCTTCGACCAACGCTAATCTTATGCACTAACTATACCCTTACCCTAACTTTTAATGCGTGTATATGTTTATGTTGCACGCATTATTCCAGCAATGTTTTTAATACATGCATGTTAGAAATAATGTATTGATTGATGTATAAGATCGAACCCTGTTCTTTAAATATTTATAATTTATTTCTTTTACTATAATATAATAATTTTTTAATAATTATTATTTATTATATATTTTTATATTGATAATATAAATTTTTATTATTAATTTTAACTTTAAATATTAATTTTTCTCAAATTAATTAGTTATTGTTAAATTACTAAATATTTTTTATTAATATTTAAAAATATTAAAGCTAAGAAAATTAATTTTAGATAATAATTTAATCTATTAAATTGATATAAAAAATATTATTTTAATTAAACTAATAATAATAATATTTTATAAAGATTTTATTGAATATTATTAGATTATTTATATTATAAATAAATTTAATAATGTGAAAAATAATAAAAAAAATTAAAATTAATAATATTTTTTTAATAATATATAATAAATTTAAAAAAAAGCTTTTTAATTTACTTTAAATTATTGAAAGTAATTAATTTTTAAATATAATTTATATATGATGACAATCAAAAATAATGCAATGCTTAAATTTTTTACTAATTATAATTAGTAAAATACATAATTTTCTTTATATATAAAGTTTTTAATTTTATTAACAAATATTTAGCTCAAAAAATAGCTAAAGTTCTCTAGTTTAACATATATTTTTTTCAGAATTTTTGGATTTTTTACTGATAACTTCTTCTAATTTCATATGAAGTTAATTAATTTTTATTAATTTATAAATAATTAGTAAAAATTAATTAACTTTATAGTAGTGACCAAAAGTAATGATTCAGGAACTAAATTTACTAATAAAATATAATAAAAATTGAAATTTTCTCTCTATATTAAAATTTATAATTTTATTAA